AATAGCTCTTAATGAGTCTAACTAAGCGCCACACAAGTTTTTTAATGTCCTTTTGACAAAATTAATAAAATTAAAAATGATAAAAAATCAATTTGGTTCCAATGACCTTAAATAATGTTTTTATAGTTAAAAATGAATTTTTTCAGTTTTTTATAATTTTTATATAAGTTTCGTGTGGACGCTGTAGCATATGGAAAAAATAATATTTTTTCAAAATGAGCTCGTTTTGGCTCTTAACTGCTCCTATTGAGCTGAGACTATTTTTAGTCATTAAAGATGCATTGAAGCTATCTGAATAAATTAGTTTTAATTGAAAATAAATTATACTTTCCGAGATTCGGCTAATCCTCGGTTGTAATGAGCTCTTTTACGGCTCCTTGTTTTCTGTAATATTTGTTGGCTTGTTTTTGCCTCTGAAAATTAAATCGTTAATCAGAAATAAATTGTTGAATGGTCTTTTGTCAAAATCTTTTAATAAATATTATAAAATCTTACATCTAATTCTTATTATCTAATAATATAAAGTGTTAGTCTATAATAATATGTGGCTTTATGCCTTTTCGTTTGTAAATGTGTTTTATAATTTTTTTGTGTCTGCGAAGGAAGACTTTATGTTTGTGGGAGGGCTCTTCGTGGCGTGTTCTCCCTGGTTTGGTCCCAGCTGGTCCTTGCCTTTGTTCTGGTGACCGGTGCTCCCCGTGAACTCGTTCCGTTCGGTTTGAGTCTGTGCAAATTATTTTATTTTTATCATTGTAAAATTGAGGCGATTAGCATCGACCTCAGTAAAACTGAGTGGCGGTTGCAAGGTCTGAAGCGGTTAAATGTAAATATATGGTAATTCTGTTGCTTTAAAATATAAGATAAGAGATATTATTATAAAATTTACGTTTCATATCGTTATAAATAGGAATCATTACATATGTAACTTTATTTCTACACAATTTTGTATTACAGTGAGATTTTATACTACATTTCATCTTAATACTTGCGCACTGTTTAAATTTTTATTCAATTACTAAGCTTAATATATTATGACACATGATAATATTATTTTTACTGGAACAAAAATAACGTACTTAAGAGATATTAAAAGTTAGTTTCGCAAAATAATACTAAACTTTATATTTTATTTAAATTATAAAAATTATATTTACTGGATGTAAAATCGGCCCCGTCGGGTTGGGCTATCCATCGGGCGCGTCTCCAGGTGACGGATAGGAGGACGTCCGGAGGGGTCCCCGGTCTCCCGGGTGTGAAACCTCGCGTGTGACTGGAAGTCCCTCCGGGTAGTAGTGGTTATAAACGGACCCCCCAGGTATAAAACCCTGTGTGGGACCGGGAAGGCCGTCGCCGTGGACCAGCCCCCCAAGCCAAGCTGTGAGCTATCGAGCTGCGTGGTACTGGGGGAGCAGTGCAGTGGTCGATGCCTCTGGGGCACTGGGCGAAACCCCGGAGTATTTAGCCTTACCCACGCATGCGGGGCTCTGCGTGGGCGGACCTGGTCATTCCCTAGCTACTCATGGGACTTGTATGGAGAGTAAAACATTCAAGACGAGATAACCGAGGGCCCGAAAGGGCCCCCCTCGTAGGATGCCACCTTGTCGTGGTAAGGGGGCTCCCTCTTGGGCTGTACCCCGCAAGGGGTCGGCTTGAGGGGGTCTAAGAGCATCCCGTGCGGACTCCTCTCACTAGTGGGGGGAGTCTGCACACTGGGTCCGGTACCCCAAGGGGCTCCCGTTCTCTTCAGAGGGCGGGGGTCCTGGGGAGCCGTCCTCCTCGGGACGGTTCCCCATTGTGCCGGTAGGGGATGGCGACCCTGATTGCAAACACCCGGTGGGCTGGCACCGATAGGGGGAGGCTTGCTCTCTTCCTGACCAGATGAGGGAATTCGTCCCCTCGGCTCGGGTCCCTCGTCGGGCCCTCCCCTTCCCTCTTCGGGGGAATGGGGTGGTTCCGTCGGGGCTCACGAGCCGAAAAGACGACACGGGGGAGTCCCGCAGGCGGGGCTGGGCGCGTCTGGGGGTTCGGCTCCGGGCACATTTGGTCTCATGCCATGGGTGGGGAGGCGCGTGCAATGGGAGTTCTGTCTCGCATTGCGCGCGACTCCACCTAAACCGGGGTGATGCGGCTTCGGCCGTAGGGGAGGTCGAAGGGCCGCTCGGACTTACTCCGAGGCGGGGCCCTCGATGCTCTCGGCGGTGGGTCTGAGGGTGACCGCTCAGACTTAATCCGAGGCAGGGTGTCCCCTATCCGTAAACGGGAGATGCGATTGCAGCCGTAGAGGGGGTCGGGAACCACCCAGGCTTCCGGGTTGGATACCGATACCCCTGGAGAAGGGTTGGGGTGGCCGCTCGGACTTATTCCGAGGCGGGGCACCCCTCCCCTACCCCCGGGCCGCTCGAACGTATTCTGAGGCGGGACCGAGGGTGGACGTGATAGCCTAGGCACTCATACGACAGTCCCTTTTAAAGCTGAGTGTCGGCCGTGGGTGGTCCTCCGTGTGGACTTTACGTCTGCACGGGGGTCGTGCTGGTCGCCAGGGCGGGTAGGGTGCGGAGGAGGCGCTGTGTCCGTTGCCTCAACCGTCCCTGGGTGGCGTCCCTCGTAGTGGTGCCCTCTTGGTCGGAGCAGAGGGACCCCCGAAAACCCTGGCGTGGGTTAACCCCCACGTCAGGGCGTGTAAGGGGCCAGGAGGTCTGCGCCCCGAATGTAACATTCTCGGTGGCCCGAGCCATATCCCGTCTCCCCGTGAGTTCACGGGGCCATCCCTATGTTATGTCTATGGGGAGGTGGGGCGTGCCCGGACGGGAGAGCCGCTACGGATAGTGGGATAGCTAGGTTATGGATTACTCACGTATTTTGAAAAGGAAGGGCTTAGGCAGAGGATCGTACTCTCAGGACGGTTCGGTTCCGGCGCCTTCGGGCGCGGGTGGTGTCGCGCCGCCCTCTGGGGCGGGGGCATCACCTGCGCGCGCGGGGCAGCTGTCAATCGGCGGGGAGGTGGCCTCCTGCGGGGCTAGTGCGGGGGGTTCCCCTCCCTCTCAGAAGGGTGGCGCGCCGTCCGTACGGTCTCGTGGGTCTGAGACCCGTTGCGTTCTTCAACCGGAATCCAAATGGGTGGTTGGTGGCGTCAACCAGTACGATCTATCAATCTCCCCTCTGGAAGAGGGGGAGGTAGTCGTGTTGCGTCACCAATCGTTCGATGGTATCGAGGAGAGGAGGGATCGCCCCCTTGGTAGGTGCAGTCGCACGGAGGAACATCGAGGGATTTGACCCGTTGGAGGAGCCCTTCTTTTGGGCAATGTGTCCAGCGGGTCATCTAGTGAAGTTCTCGATGCCCCGGTTATCGGACGTGAGATCCATTCGCCCGTTTTTCGATACGAGCGGGTCGAGCATCGATTGGATGCTCAAGAGGTCATCCATCGACGTGAGCGACATGTTGGCCAAAGAGTGGCCTTCGGTGTC